AAGCCTGTAAATGAGGAACAAGTAAGCTTGATTGCCATGTAAAGATGTCAGTCCAAGCTCAGCACCATTTGTTTGCATAGATTACAGATGAGATTACAGACATAGATTACAGTCTGAGAAAAAATATCCTATCCTCTGTGCAAGACCATCAGGCCTCATGAAATAGGCCTCTGTGATCATCAGAGCTCTCTCCAGATTTTTGCCGAAGACTGGCAAAGGTCACTGTTTCACATGAATTCCTCATGGCTGGTTTCTCTTCCTCTTCCAGAAAAAAAGCATTTGTCTATTACTCCATCTTATAGACTGTTGTTTTATGGGTTTTAATAAAAACTTAATATTTCTTTTTCTAGTTTTCCAATATATATTTAGAGATGTTTAATAATAGTTTTGCTTGCAGGCATCCAAGATACATTTTACAAAAGACACAAAGACAGTATCTGTGTTTCTGCAACCACATCTTTCAAGTATAAGCAGAGTTGCCCTATATGTAGGCTGTGTGTATATTACAGGTTCTAGTCCACATAATACAGTTAAGTTTGTGGTCAGGAGACAACAGTATATCATACTGCCTTGTAGGAAGTAAAGCCCCAGACAGGCTAATAGAGGCTTTCTGTTCATGGGTGCTCCCACACAACTGAAGGAGAATATTTTCAGTTCCATTTGTAGACCATAAATTCATATGTACGTTTCATGTAACTTTAATTCAATCCTCTTGTGTATGTGCTTTGTTGTCGAACATTTTACTTGGTCACAGCAGTATTTTTCCAGCAGACCCCCTGCCTTGTGTGCTTGCCTTGATCTCTACTGTTTCTATGTTACTATCACTAAAAGCAGTACTTTGGAACATTTTCCTAGAAAACCAATGTTAAAAGAAAGCATTCAGTCACCTACACTGCTCCAGGCAGTACAATCTGTCTGTTATAACAATACTGTTTTACAACGCAGAATTTTTTTCCCTTTGACTATTGGGAAATGCTACACAGCAAAGGAAGTGTTCTGTCAATCCTCCACCTGTTCATGGAGATTGATAATATGGTATGTAAATCTGCCAGTCAGAGCGTCCAAGCAGCTTTTTCTTCCTCACCCCGATATGGAGGAATCTTCCATGTGCTGTACTTCTTCCACATTTCAAGCTACACATACCACCCCTTCAGCTATGAATTTCAATTCTAATGAAACCACAGGGGAGGGTAAACAAAATGCATCCCTCTGCTTTAGATTTCCTGGCCTGACTAAGCAACTGAACCTTCTGCTGTCCCTTCCACACTGCAGGCTGACAAGAAGAAGCATGAAGAACACCTCATTCACTTCAGAGAGGAAAAGCTCAGAAGAATGGGAAGATGAGTATGAAAGGGAGAAATTTATTTTTTTTTTTTAATTAAAACTAAAGGCCTAAACTGAAGTCAGGTGAAGAAGAACATTCAAGGGAAAAGGAAATAAGAATAGAAAACAAAAGACAAAAAGGGAGGATATTAAAGAGTTACAATTGGTATATGAAAATAGAAGGGAGATAAGGCAAAATGGTATAGAGGAAGTGGAGGAGAGACTAACATAGGAAAGATTAGAAGAAGCAGTGTTGAAGGAAGAGATACAAAAAGACATGAAGGATCAGAAAAAAAGGAAGGTACAATGTCATCTTACAAGCAAAGCTATTTCACCAGACCTTTGGTATTCAGCATGTAATGATCTAGTAATTAATAGGCTATTAAAAGTTCTGAAACATTTCCAGTGAGCAGCCAGTTCCTCGAAACCAGCTGCTGTAGGAAGACAATATTCTAACATGTGGATAAACTGATAGTTTAGCAAAGGACCCCTGTGGATGGGAAGGCTAACACCAGCAAACAGCAACTGTAAAATAACAGCTAGTTTTTATTCAGACCAGCCTCCAGCATTCAGGCTGAGAGGCTAACAAAAGCCTGTTCTGTAAGATTTACATTTTATCTTCCTCATTCTTGATATTTCCAGTGCAGGGAAATAAAAAAAACAAATAGTTTTTTAAACTGCTATTTGAAATATGAAGCAGGCATTTTTTTAAGGCAACCAACCAGTTAAGGTAGTTAAAATGGCACAATAATAACCCTTTCCTGGTCTCCCAGTGTAGGAAACTGAAGGTAAAATATAATCATATAATCCCAATTACTGTACCATGATGCAAACAACCCTTGTTCAATAGAAGATTTTTGCTGACATTCCAGTGATAAAGGGGAGTCAGTAAAAAAGTAGAATTACATGCAAAAGACCAAGTGACACTAAAATTTAGTTCACAGTATAAAGATTATCAACCCTGAACTAGGAGGATGGTGATTATACTTCGTTCTGTAACCTCTTGCATGGTTGATTATACTGCACCACAGAGAGACAGAACAGTAATAACAGGACTGCAGATGACTGAATTTTGCCAAGCTGTTCCACACAGATATCAGCCAACTTGAATAAAATGAATAATAATGAAATTAAAGCAAATTATTAGTTCAAGCAAGACTCACTGCTATATGTTTGGCATGATGTAATGTAACTAGAACTGATGAAACTGTTAATTCTGGAAAATTATCACCCACATTTTGCTCTTGTTTCTCTTAGTGACTTCTGTGAATAGACCATGACTTTTACAGACTTCTTTGTTTTTCATGTTAGTTCTAATTGCTCACAATCAGCATGTGAGGAAAAAAAAAAAAAAAGAAAAAACAACAAACCAACAACCTACAGTCTTCTTTTGTACTGTTACCAAACTTCAAATATACTGAGGTACTCGTATTCAGTTTACTAACAATAGTATAGTTGCTCACTTAGTTGTCTGATATGATCTACGTTCCCCTGCAAAATGAGGAGGAATGAAGAAAGGGAGTAACAAATTTCTATGACATGTAAGACAAAAAGGGTAGTAGGCAGGCCTAACATAGTAGGAAATGCCTAAAATTTCCACCCCAACTATGCAAGTAAAAACAATCTATTTAATGTTATGAGAAGCCTGCAATTAGAACAAGCAAGTATTCCACACTCTGCCATATAATGACAGAATGTGCCTGGTAATCAAGTAACATAACACTCCTGTAAGGTAGGAAGGTACTATAACTGCCATCTGACAGGTAAGGAATGAAGACACAAAGACTACATCTAAGCCCGAGGAACTAGGCTTCTGCATCCATATTAGAGCCCAGCCACACCTTTATGTGAGCATTTTCATCCCAAGGGGAAGGAGAGAAACTTGAGCACCTATGTGAGGAGAGATAGATCTTCAGTGCATGCCAGCCAAATCCCCAGTCTGAACAGACCATAGCTGTGCATGCAGGTAGACTATCAGTCTACATACAGCTAAAGAGCTTTACCAGAATCCATAGTGCTTAAATACATGTACCTGACATCATCTTCAGCCTCACAAATAACGACAGTTTCTTATCTATCTCATCTCTTGACAGAGAACCTGTGCCACCCACCATCAAAAAAAAAATATCTAATTTTTGAGTAACAGTCTTCTCTTATATTCTGATGTTACTACTTCTGCTGAAAAGTAAATACTAATTAGAACAATTGTATTGAAGTTAATATAGCATGACAACTTAAATTAATAAATTTAACACAGAATTGCTAAATATTATTTTTTCTCCAAGAAGTCTAGCTTTTTTGCCTCATTTTGCCAAACAGATGTTTTGTTCACCCACTCCCATCTACATTGCATGCATCAGCTTTGTGTCACGTGGAAGCAAGCATGCTTCAAGACAACCGAGAGAGTCTGGATTGTTTTACTCAAGTCACTAATTAAAAGCGTGGCAAATGAATTATTATATACAATAAACCATTATAAAATGAGGAGCAATTTATGACTGTTTGCAGGTCAGTTACCAGATGTTTCAACTGCTAGTTTGTTCCTCGTTGGAGGCATCCCTTCACACCTCATCACTCGGGCTCCTAACTTGCACTGTGTAGAGGGTCAGGTAACATTTCCCTTTCTGACGGCTCCTCATTGCTCTCCAGTACAAAATAGCTCCATTCAGGAATTTACATGATAGCTCAACAATACAGCACCAAGACAGTACCACTCAGCTGCACAACTCCATCCTCTCATTGCAAGGACTGATGCCTGGGGTTGGGTGATTTGGAGAGCATGTTAGCAAAGATAGTTTCTTCCCCAACACTTATAATCTGCACACATGGTACTACATGGTCCTAGGGACAGGAAACTTGTTTTATGTTGGGTTCTAACAATGTGTCTGTTCATTTACTGCTTCATCCAGTGATTTTTTCAAAACAACCACAGTGATAAAAAATATTTTACTGGATTAATTTAGGAACAGAAGGAAACCAAATGTGGTTGTCAGTGTTTGACGGGAATCCTGCAGATGAGGAGGTGATTTCACCCTCTGTTACCTGAGCCTTTTATTCATGACGGCCTGTGCTACGTCACTGCTGCTGCCTCCGCCCTCGGCCTGTTTGCACAGGGTGAGCTCAGCACCCCCCTTCCCTGGAGCCCAGCACCCCCTTTCTCTGGGGTGTGGTTCCAGGCCTTATTGCAGGGTGTGCAGGTGCAGGGAGGTGGCCCTGGGTGCCAACACCCTGCTCTCACGGGGCCCTAAACTGGCTCCAGTTGGCAAGACAGCGAGCCCAGTAATGGAGAGGTGACGGGGGGTGCGAGTGCAGGTTACTGGAGCACTCCTACCAGCAGACCCCCCGACAAACCCCCCCTTTGCCCCGCGAACCTCTTGGCTTTGCCAAACAAGGGAGAAAACCTGACTGTTTTCAGGGCAGGGGCGCTCCCGAGACTTTTACCGAGAGAAAACTTTGCTACGAGTGAAAGGGAGCAGAGGATGCCACCGGCAGGGAGCTGACACCTCCCCGGCGGGAGCCCCCGTTTAACGCTCAGCTCCCGCTACGGCCGGCGCCGGCTGCCCCACAACAGCCCATCCCGGCCGGGCGAGGAGCCGAGGAAGCTGCGGGGGTGCCCAGGGT